ACTAGCATCTATTCATTCAATTATTGATCAGGTATTTGAAAGCATTAAATTCATGACACAATTAAATATATTTGGAAAATCAAACATAAATAATTATAATATAATTAAATCATAATCTCAAATTCGGCTACATCAAACCCTAGCTAAATTATTTAGTTCATGAAGAAATTCATAAAATCTAAACAATCTACAATGAAAAACATAAAAGAGGAGGTAAGAAAAACTCTTTTTGGAGTGTTGATCGAAGTCCCCTTTGATTTTTTCACCATTTCTTCACTTAATTTCTTCAAATCCTTCTTCTTATTGTCCTTGAAAATTTAGCCGTTTTGTATCTTTTTCCTCCTTCTCCAACCTTTAAAATTAGGTCTTTGTGGTGGTATTTATAGTGTCCACAAGTTGTAAGACGGAATAGGGTTGGACCGGGTCTAAAATCTTTTAAAATTTTCAAGTTTCTTCTTTTTCGGGTCGGGGCGCCGAGGCGCCCAGATTTGGGCGCCTGGCGCCGCGTATTCTGCTGATTTTCAGCATTGTGGGCGCTAAGGCGCCCGGTTCGCTGAAATTCAGTTTACGCTTCTTTCAGTATTTTTAACATAACTCTTTCTCCTAATATTCGATTGAGATGATTCAAGTTACGTTGGAAAGCTAACTCAAAGGCCTACAACTTTGATTCAAACATCATTCTCCAATTCAATCGTTTACTATGTCAAAAATGAGTCTCAATATGAAACTAAAAATCTGGAGTAAAACTTTTCGATTGTAAATTGATTTGTGATCATATTTTGACTAAATTTGATCCCTTTGACATCTTTTCTCATCCAATTGGCTCTGATCACTCTCAAATCTTCATCGTGAGGTTCGATATAACTTTTCAATATTTGCACTTTAGTCTTCGAACTTTAGATCTCTTACAATTTAGCACTTTCCTTTCCAACTTTTGTTTATTTTCTTCAATCTCATCAACCTACATCACAACATCAAAACACACATAAAAACATTCTAAAACTCTCTCAAGGATGACAAAATAACAAATTAAATGACATAAATATCATGAGTGTAGAACACTCATCATCCACCACGTTAACTTTTATTAAAATCTATCGAAACTTTCATAAAAAACTTTATCAGCAACTCGCCAAATATGCCTCTTTCTATTGGAGTCTTTCTCTATTGCTATTGGTATCGACTTCTGGATGTGCTTATGCTTTTACCTCATCATCATGGCTACAATGAATGCCCAACATTTACATCTCTTCCTTTTCAATAAAAGGTGAGAATGAACTCTCATTTTGATTGATTCAAAAAAGCCCTTCCCATATGATCCCACGATCAAATCTTCATTATTGAGGTGCTTAACGCATTTTATTGCATTTTTTTCTCTAGGCTCAATTGTGAAGCAAAAATATTTTCTCCATCATTGTCACTTCTTTTAAATGAATTGAATGAAAAAACTAATAAAATTGTAAAAGTGTATTTGATTGCCTTTTTTCTATAGAAAATGTCATTTTCCAACCAAAATTCATACCTTTAGAGTATTTGATTAACAATTTTTTTTACGGAAAATATTTTTCAACTTTTAGTTATTTTATCATATTTTCCTCAAAAAAAAGGAAAACATTTTCTTTATGAATGATTAGTTTTTATTTTTCAGATAATTCACATTCTCTTTCTCTCTCTCATATATCACTTCTCTCTCATCTATTCACCAATAAAAAATGGACAAGTAAAATATTTTCTAGGTTGAAAACTAAGGGCTTGTTTGGGCCGGATTAAAATCTGATTTTAATCTATGTTAAAGTCAAACAATTAATATTAATCGCATCTTTCATGAGTCTCATATTTTTTCAACCACACATTTCAATAACTTATATCACAATCCACAAAAAATCTAATTTTAATACCCACCAAATACCATCTAAATCAATCAAACACATTTAATTAATAATTTAAATACAAATAATTTATGGGCAATCGAATTTATTAAAAATTATTATTTTTCATATAAATTTGATGTTTGCAATCAAACGTACCCTAATTGATATTGTGTTTATAAATTTGTGATCTATTACTGTCATGGAATATACTTTTACATAAGCGCGTCTTAGCATATCTGCCCCGCGGCACTGAAAGTTGCCTACCCTACATTCAACCAATGACAAATTACTTTAAAATTATTCTAAATTAAGGTTATCCAGAAGATTCTATGTTGACGAATTCTTACCAACCAAAGTCCCCTCTATTACGTGTCACATAAACAATGGAAAAAGGAAATTAGATAACTTGTTTTAGGGCAATTCCATTTGTACGTAAATGGATGACAATGAACGTTGACAACCTTTCACATGCATGTAGGTCCTTTGTGATTAAAATTTTTTTAAAAAAATGAGACTCCCCTATTGTGAGTGTTTGGTCATCCATATTGTCATCAATTTCGGTACATGTAGCATGTTGCTTATTTTAATATACTAATCTTATTTTTTAAAACTTCAGCCTCAATTTGTGTATAAATTTATAAATAATTTTATAAATTCAATCAAAGTCAAATATTGATTTTAACAACATAATTCAATTGATCCACAAGTATCATTCAATTATTCGTACAAAAACGATTTTATAAATTATTTCCAAACGGTGGCTAACTTCTCATAACTCAACGTCTTCGAGTCCCTCATGAAGGACCATAACAAGCTATTTTTGGAAACCGAATCGACCACAACCTTCTACCTCCCTAGAGTCTCAAACTCAGATGGAGAAAAATTCTTTCTATAATTATCTCAATTCAATGTGAGTCACATGCATGTAAAGCAACATAGTCAGACATGTTTGGTACGTTCGATTCATAAATTTTCTTGTTGTGCTATCTAATAGTACTTACTGAATACTAAACATGATGGTTGTGTATAAAACAATTGGGGAGGTTATTTTATTGGAGAAAATTGACTAAAATGAATATTACAATTTGGAAACCTTTGTAAGAACATTATTATACTTCAGCTCCAAAAGTAAGAAATTATACACAAGTGGATGATCAATGTTCTGAAAGAATTCTCATGCTTGAGGCCTTTGAGATTCTGGTAGATTTTTAACATAAACATCATGAACAAGCTCTACATAGTCTTCGACTTTGTCTGCTGTCCAGTCGTCGGTTGTAATTGGTGGAAGATATTTAACGCTTATAGGCGTCGGCCTAATGTGCAAGCTGCCCTTTCTCCATGCTCGATTTGTGCCCGTCAACACGATTGGAACTATAGGCCGGCGTGTTTGCAATGCCAAATGAACAAAACCCTGTTCACGAAACGATAATCTTTGATCAAGTAACAGGATATACAACAGAAACACAATTCATGATCATCTCAGATTGCAAATGAATGGCTTGTAAAGTGGATGCGACGCTATAAAGAGAAAAAGAAGCTTTAACCTTGTCAATTATACTGTTTTACGTATCAAACATGCAATAAATGCTCATCCCACCGTCCAAAATATGCCAGTACTTTAACTACATATGATCGATGCACTGATATATCATACTCAGTTAAAAAGTAAGCATCTTGCCTTCTTAAAAGGTAACAAGTGTCCACTCTTAGACCTCGTGCCCTCCGGGAAAATGATCAAAGATAGATTGTTCTTTACAACTGCCTTAGCCGCCTGCAAGAAAGCGGATTAAACTCGAGAAATACATATATAGCTTGCTTAAAGGAAAGTTTGGCAGGATAAAACGAGGGTACCTCTTTCATCGACTCTATAGCTGCAGTTGGATTGGACCGATCTATACGAAGATGGTTAGCTAAAACATAGAGTTGTCCAAACAATGGATAAAATATGATCTGAGAAGAATTTGACACTTCTATTAAGTTTATCTTAAACTATAACACATGCTGCAGCAAAAGGTAAAAATTTAACAAATGTACAGATGCTTGTAACTAAAACTGAGAATTTGATAATTCGACCTCTTTCTTCGCAATGCCGACTGTGCCAGTTGGAGTCAACCACATTACAAGAAAGATGTCGATGGGAGAAGCGTGGTTACTTATATAAATCGCCCTTTCATTGGAATATTCAGCACCTTCAATCTTTAATGGATTCCCCAAAATCCGCATCTGCAGTAAACAATCTGAACTCTTTGATCATCTAACACTTAAATTTACTGCATTATACGTAGTAGAGAAACAAAAGTTCGATTATCCCACGGTTACCATGACTCGAAGGTCCCCCGAGTAACCGATAGTCACTTACATCATATTTTATATGCGACTCATATAGACTGAAACAAGTTTATTTGATCAAAATGGTCGATGCCTGAGCAGAGTGGAGCGACGGCATTGGGCTTGTAGGTTTAATTCACTGTTTGTTTGTCATGGACACTGAATAGGTTGAGGGGTGCAGAGACGGTACGGTACAGTACATGTGCATTTTTTTTGTACGGACCCTAAAGTCTTGTATGAACTTGGGCTTGAGTTATTAAAAATACTGATAAAGTAACCCTATTATTTATACTGAATAAAAATCTCCGCTTTGCTCCTCTTGGACGTAGGCACATCGCCAAACCACATCAAATACTTGTGTTGATTTCTCTATTATTTTGCGTTTAAAATCCAACACATCACAAGCTTCTTTGCTCGTGTTTGAATTTGTATAGAGCTCATCAAACCATTAATTACCTAAAAATAACAATTTTCTCATATCCTGGATTAGAATTATTTACCATAGAATTGATTTTTTTTTTTTTTTGCTGTCATGTCACTACTCTTGTGAGTTGTGATATTAAAATTTGTGAATAATATGCACAAGAAAATTCTCATCCAATTTTTCCTACTGGGACCCCAATCAATTTTTTTCCATCTGGGACCCATTCAATTTTTCCAACTGGGACCCTATTCTTCAATAGAGACAAACATGGCAAAGAAAGTTTTGTCTTCCTGCAGTGCTATCCACACATTTGTTATGTAAAGCTTAATGGTTAGGGCAAAGGAAGGATTGACGAAAAAAGGTATTGACAAAATTTGTTAATTGACTTGTCGAGTCATGCTCCTCAAAAATAAACTAAAAAAATAAAAATAATTGCAAAACGCAGGATCAACTGCCACGAGCAACCAACAGAAAATCCTGAACCAGAACTGTTAAGATTGTAATTCCAAATAAGTAAAACTTTTTTAAAAATAAGTTACTTAAAAGTAAAAGGCTTACCAGCATTTTACCAGTGACATGTCCATAGATATTGCCCTGCCTAATTCTCTGGTAAGGCCATGGCAGAAGCACCAGCATGATCAAAGCCCATATGAATGTTGTAAACATCATTGATACAAAACATACAACAATTCTGATCCAAGAAATCAAAAAAGAAAACCACCCATCATCGTCGGCTGCGTACTCATCGGATTCCGCCCTCTGCGGTGGCTGCTCCACCACCTTCGCCACCGGTTTCGGCCGTGGCGCTGCTGGCCTTGCAGAACTAGCATCAACATAGCTCTCAAACCTTCGGTTCCGCATAAGAGAACCCATCCCAGAATTCTCCATATTGAAGTCAACTTTCCTGTATAATTATAACAAGTTCAATAATAGAAATACATACGAAGAAACAAGAACCCAGTTTTTAATTCCATATGATTAGTTGAAGAGGGTTCGAAAGTTTTGAGTGATTATTATGAAGAGACAACTGGGATTTCATCAAGACAAGACAACCAAACATAATAGTACACGTTTTGCTCATGGAAAACAGTGCAAAGACAGCAACATGTTGAAATTTATGTACCTGCGACGATGATGAAATTTCTTAAGAAATCTAGACAACGAAGACACACGGAAACTGGGATTGCAAGTTCAAGAAAATTAGAGTATTGAAATCAATTCATACAGTACAGACTAGAGAGGGGAATGGGATGTGGGGAAGAAGAAGACGAAATGGGAAGCTAAGGGTGGAAAAGAGAGACCGAGGGAGGGCTCTCAATCACAATCTATTGAGATAATGTATGGCTAATGACTGACACACATGTAGTTGGGGGAATTTGTTTTTTTATTGAGCTTTCCAATGTGTGAGGTGCTTTTGTTTTTCAAAGGCTGCTCCAGAATATTCATCGGAATCCTTAAATTTTTCGCATAATCTTATTTATTTATTTAATCTTGATTCCTATTTTTTTGAAAATATATTTTTTTCTATTTTTTTCAATTACGCATTCTTCAATAAAATACTGTTACAAGCAAATTCAAAATTTTTCCTTATTTTTTGACAACACATTTTCCATCAATTTACTATTTCAAAATGAATTATTTATCTTTTAATGGAGCTCAAACTCACCCTTGGAAAGGGGGGCGTTTTTTTAGTTTTAGCAAATATTTGATTTAGATAAAAAAAAAATAGATTTTTAGTAAATTTTGATAAAAATTGATGGAATGCGTGATTAAAATTAATTGTTGGTTTCGACTAAAATTTTAATCAACTTTTTAGTCGAACCAAATAAGAGCTTAGTATGAATATAATTTATAAATAGATAAAAATAAGTGATAAATAAGTAAATAATATTTGTGATCCATTGAAATGTATAGTTAAAAATGAAGTTTGACCATTTATAAATTTTATTGAAAGGCCAAAAAAGTAAGTCTCATATTCATACATTTAAAATATACTATTATTTTATGGCACGTCACAGCTGCACCAGATGTGATAATCTCTCTTGAAGATAAATAACATTGTTTATTTATGACTGCTATCATGTTTAAATGACGTTGAATGATAAATTCAATAATATGTAAATCGTGTCTCAACATTCAATTGAAGTTATCATTTAAGAGTAATACAACTTATCTAGATTGTTGATCATAGGAGATCTATGTATTGATAAATGATTGTACATCTTAAATGAACGAATAATGTTATGTTATATATAAAAACTCGAGATCATTCTCATGTGATGTGACAAGTAATATGCAGTGAAATGATAAAATCAATAATGTATGGATATGAAACTCATTTTACCGTCTCTATTATTTAATGTCACCTCACATGAGGATCACCTCTAGTTTCTAGGTATAATATTATTCTAAACGAACACTTATCCTTTCATTTGAGAAGTCAAATAACTTAAAATATCATTTAATTGACAACTAGATTGGTAAATGTAAATAATCTAAATGAATATTATCATTCTTGCCACATAGATGATAAAGTTCTACATTTAAGACGTCTAATCATACGTCACTTAATTGTGAAGACAACGTAGGTAGGACGCCTGCTTAAGACCTAAGTGTCATCATGATAGTGTTGCAGTCGACTTCACCAACCAATCAAATTTCATCAAATAGGATGTTGCACAAATTCCTAAGTCAGAAAGTCGTAGATTGACATATAGGATTGCTTGTTTCAGTCCACCTGTATATATAAAGGGACAAATTGTAGATCCCTGTACAATTGTGCCACATTGTTTTTTTGAATGCCAAACAAGCCACATTTCTTAGCAGAACCAAGTCCCACAAAAATATCCACATTTTTCTTACTCTTGAGATCCACCATTTTGCATAATGAGCCACAATTTATGATCGAAAAGCCTTTTCAAAACTAATTTCGACGATATAAGCATCCCAAGTAATCGCCAAAGGCGCAGCAACAGAAGCGAATTCATATACACAATCCCCAGCTGATCGCCATAAGTGAGACCATAGAATACCTCACCAGCGCATTGTGATGCATCGAAAGAAATCAAACGACCACCATGTTTATATGCAGGTTATGCATTTTCTATGCATTTTGAAATGAGAAACAAGAACAGAGTTGATTTCTTAGTTAAGCAGCACAATTAGCGTCACTCAATTATGAGAAAAGAAATGGTAAACAAGCACAAGATGAAACGGAAGAGAACTCAATAAACGTCAACATGGCTAAACAGTAATAAATTACAAGACCAATCCATAAGACTCGGTTATCAGACAGACATGAACAACAACGTTAGAGGTGACTACTCCAGTTTTAAAATGTTCTCTTCTAGTTTTCTCATAATCATAATTCTCAGTCACTCTAGCTTATTTCGAAGAAGTTCGGGGTGCAAACAGAACGAGAGGCCATTATAATGCAGCTATGCACTCAATTTCAATCTTTGCATCCATTGGTAGTGCTGCCACCTGGTAAGTTGAACGAGCTGGAGCAGGCGATGGAAAATCTGCAATGGGATTAAGCCAAATTAAATTTAACCGAACAGATTAATTGATCGACTGTAGGAAAATGTCTATTGGGTATTCATAGATACAAGGAATTGTTCTGAAAAGAAACTAGTCAGGATGGCATTATATGAATTCCCAAGTTCAGGAATGCATGGCGATTTAACTGTGGAAATTCTCACAATCTTTTCAGTTTTTACGAGGAAGACAAGTTATCATCCATGCAACTACGGTAGAAATTCATGCAACTGTGGAAATTTACAGCATTATACATTTTGTAACATTACAGATTTTACATAATAAGGTACAATGGGCGGTGGACATGGTCCCAAAATGTATTGATAGAATTTAGAGGTCAGAACGGTGAGGTCTAACTGAATCAGCATTAAGCTAACGAGAGAGGAAACTGACTCGTAATGACTTTCAGGAACAAGAGTTTTTCCTAAAGATACATGGACATGGGAAATGAGTAACACCATTTGCTATTGGAAGTGACAAAAGGAAAGCAATGCCAAGAAATTTGTTCTTCAAATGGTTTTCGTGTAGTTAATGCAGAAAACTAGGCATGCAGGTATCAAGTCCTATCAGTTGCATCTTCTTATATATGCAGAATCAAAGAAAAAAATTATGTCGACAGATAAGAGTTGACTTGAATCCTAAAAACTCACATTTAGCATAGATCTCATTCACTTTCTTGAAGTCTCCCAGATCAGCCAACCTGTAAAGAAACAAAATTCAATATCAATTGCAAAAATCAAGTGTTGTTCAGTTATGAAATGCGTGTTAGTTCATCTGTGTGCACGAGATTGAGCTGGCTTTCGTGTATGAGAGAGAGAGGGGCTTGAAGAAGGCATTGAACAAAATCACGCACATGATTGTTGTCTTGACCACTGAGGAATAGCTGGCACCACTCGCTTTAAGTATCTCACCCATATTCTTAAGAACCTAGCAATTTAAACATACATTAGTAAGCTATTAACTCTCCACTCAATAACTAAATACTGCGGTTGTTATATGTCAATGGAAAAACAAGACAACGGTATATCCATTTAGTATACGAAAAAGTGCATTGTAAACTTCATGCATTTGCTCAAGCAAGGATATGCTTTAATTTTTTGTGTATGCCACTTCTCTTGAAACACAGTCTAAAAAAAAATTACTAGCAGAGTTCACATATTATGGCATACCTGCTCAGTTTGATCTTCTACGTTATCCGAGACAAATTTTCCAGTCTGCATACAGACATGGGAAAAAAAGTTCACAACAACCTTTTTCATTTTAATATGTAAATAAAACTATACATATATAGAGAGAGAGATTGATACAACGGCGATTAGATGTTTTAAAAAAAATACTTGATATTGTATGATCAGCTAACACCACAAACCTCTGGAATTAGTCCAAGAACCCCAGACACGAAAATCATATTATTTGCTTTGATTGCTTGAGAATATGGCCCCAATGCTGCTGGAGCCTTTTCGGTCTGAACGGCTTCCTTTATGCCTGGGTTCAATTGCATGTTGCAAAACAAATGAGCATCACAATACAAATTACAAAGAAAATAATTGCAGATGTTCAAAGGAGATTGTAAAATGAATCGAGCAAAAATAGAATGTTCTTAACCAAACACAAGTAGTGATGTACTGGATTGAATCGCACTGTTGAGAAAGCACAAGGCACTTGCATTTGAAAACTCTTCCTTCTTGAAAGAAAGCAATTAGAAAGCTAAAAAGGAGAAAGAAAATTGCTCTGTCTTCAACTTATTGTGAACATTAAATGCCGGTTACAAGTACAATTCTAAGAGCAGGGTCAAGATGTCAACTCCATAAACCTACCTCCGTTGAATATTTCCAGTCACTTCTCTTAAGACATCTAATTAGAGACAAGGAAACATATGGGAGAAAGAAATTTACAAATAATATTGAGAAGAAGAAGAACCAAAAACTTGTGGACAATAAAAACGATAATGAATGAGTAACCCTGGGTAGAAATCAAACCAACCACTAAAAAAACAATTAACCAAGAGATTTTGATTAGCATCAAGACTTTCAAGATGATTTCACATCCATTGTCACTATACATTACCTTTCACGTGAAGAATAACTCTGCTTTCTCTATTAAGATACATGAGTATTAGTATAGTGCCATTGTTCTACTTCCTGTACTAAAACTTCAATATACTAGTTTAAAGGGTAGATATTTTCACTAATCACAAAGGATGCAACTTTCTTAACTGCAAGTTAAAGTGGTACATTATGTTCTCTAACTAGGGAATACTAGAGTAAATTCATCCTGACAATTAATTACAAAAATTAGGGTCTGTTTGGTTTGTGTTTCACTTTTCACTTTTGAGTTCATTTTTAGTTTTCGGTTTTGAGGCTCTGTTTTAAGATTACTAAAAATGAATTTTGAAAAATTGTTTAATAACATTTTATTCCATGAAATTTATCATTCGGTAAAAATAGAATAATTTTATACTAA